ATACTGAGTCCCCAGTGTTGCCCCTCTTAGGGCCCGGGGCCATCAAGGGACGTGTCTCGTGGTGGGATCAGCCATGTTGTCCACTCTGTCCATTGGCTGTTCAGAGCGGGATATCATCCTCCAGGCCTGGTGGGTCAGGATGTGCTCCACTCTCTCTTCCTCCCCCTAAATGCTCCCATTTGCTCTGATCAGAAATCTCCCTCTCCCTTAGCTGCAGCTTCATTGCTGTCCTCTCAAGTAGATTCTTCTGGGGGAAGGGACAGTTGTCCACGTAGCTGGCATGGGGGCTGAGCCCTCATGCCCCTCCACTGGCTCCCCACTCCTTGCCAACAAGCTGTATTCATCTGGCACTGGCTTTAAATCTGGTCCTTCTTTCCCTGTGGAGCCACAAAAAATACCCTTCCTTTGAGTGGTCAGTTTCCTATTCCCCTGTCACATATCCTTCCCCCCACTTTCCTCCACCCCCCTTTGTGGTTGGCTACCCTATGTACCACTGGATTTGGTCTGGCACCTGCCATACTACCTGGATCTTACCCCTAGAGTGTTTGTATACTGCACCTGCCATACTACCTGGATCTTACCCCTAGAGTGTTTGTATACTACAGTAGCTTTTTTCCTGTGCCCCTTTTGCATTTACCTTTCTGTTCTTTCATATCTATATATATATATATAAACTTACCTCGGTGGATTCATGTTATACTTGTCCTTTTGTGCTTGGCTTGCTTCGCTTAGCATTATTTCCTGTGCCCCTTTTGCATTTACCTTTCTGTTCTTTCATATCTCTATCTATCTATCTATCTATCTATCTATCTATCTATCTATCTATCTATCTATCTATCTATAAACTTACCTCGGTGGATTCATGTTATACTTGTCCTTTTGTGCTTGGCTTGCTTCGCTTAGCATTATTTCCTCCAGTTCTTCCCATGCGGCGATATGCTTCATGCGTTCATCGCTGCTTTTTAGTGATGCATAGTACTCCATGTATGTACCACAATTTTTAATCCACTTGTCTGTTGATGGAAATTTGGGTTGCTTCCAACTCCTTGCGATTGTGAACTGTGCCGCAATGAACATTGGAGCACAGATGTCTGGCTGTGGTTTGTTTCTTGCCTCTTCTGGGTAGATGCCCAGTAGGGGGATTGTTGGGTCATATGGTAACTCAATTTCCATCTGTTTGAGAATTCGCCAAATCGATTTCCATAGTGGCTATACATATCTACAGGTCCATCAGCAGTGGATGAGAGTTCCTGTCTCGCCACAGCCCCTCCAACAGTTACTTTCTGATTTTTTTGAATTGGACTGTCTCTGAGGGAGTTAAGTGGTATCTCATTTGCATTTCTCTTATGGCAGCCATTATCTTGTACTTCATTTTCATGACTTTGTACTTGTTATCGTGAGAGACCAATCCTTCAAGAAGAACCTCATGCTTCACAGAGGATCAGCTCTAAAGAGAAAGAACAACCTTTCATGAGATGGATGGACAGAGTGGCTGCAATAGAGGCTCGAACATAACCACAAATAAGAGGCCACAGCACAGGGCAGTGTCTTTGTTCTGTTGTTCAGAGAGTCGCTATGAGGTGAAACCGTCTTGACTCCTACAGACGACAACTCCACGTGTCTGTTATTTTATTCAGGTTAGCTCCTAGAAAGCAGTGGGATGCCTGGAGGGTGGTGACATCACAGGATTACATCACCATAGAGTCCCTTGCTATTCTTCCTATTCTGTATGTTTGTTTATGTTTTAATCACTGCCTGGCCTTATTGTATTAGCCTGGGTACTTTAGAGAAACAATCCACAGAACTCATGTATAAGAGAGAGTTTTATATAAAGGTTAAATGTACATCAAAAAAACATCCCAACCAAGTGCTGCCCAAGACCACAAGTCCAACATTAACCCATTGACCCATATGCCCAACACCAATACACAAAGTCCTTCTCCATCTCAAAAAACAGACGCAGTGATGCCGACTTCAGGAGGAAAGCCATGTCAGTGAACGTGTAAGCATCTCAGCACTGGCAGGGGTCTCCACACGGCAGCTCCAGCACCCAGGGCTGGATCAGGGTAGGTCATGTGGCTTCTCCTTGAGGATGTCATGTAGGAAGTCAGCCTTGCCAGCTGAAGCAGGGAATTGGTTAAGGCAGCTGCACCCTGGTGCAACCACCACAAAGCATGAAACCCGAGAACTAGAAAGGCGAGGCTCTCTGAGCCATTTATCCCTCTGCCTTTCAATTAGCCCACATGTGTTTATCGAACAGCTTAGCACAATAAACTAACTACCTCACTTATCTATCAGTGTAGGAAGCAAGGTATTTCATAATTTAACATAATAGAAATGCCACAATCTTTAAAGCATTGATTTTCAAGCCCTGTAGCATAGTATCTTGCTGTAATATGTTAAAGAATCTCATTTTAAATGGATAAAAGGAAAAGAAAAAGAAATTGCTTTGATTTACACTGTCATTGGTTTACATGTAAATCAAAATCATCCATAGGTCATAAAGAAAAGAAAGCTAAAAATGTAATCTAAATATTAATATTTATTTTCTTTCAGCAATGTAAGTCATATGTATATGTAAATCCTCTATTTGCTTTCATATATGCACATGTGTTTTTTAACTCCAGCACTTGTCATGTTCAATTTTTCATAAATAAAATATTTTGTAATTATACATATGCTTATTAGCATGAAAAACAAATATTCATAAATAAGTGACCTCTTGCATTTTTTTTAGTATATGACAACATATGTAGGTAATCATTTTAAAGAATAAGAAAACTTGCTGTACAGTGTACTATTTTTTGAGGCCTTCTTTTGTGTGTGTGTGTGTGTGTGTGTGTGTGTTATGTGCTTTGAGGTCTTCCATTTCTGCCCCTTTTTTGTTTTCTACCCTTTCAAGCTGATAAGTGGCATTTGCACCATCTGTCATCTGTGACTGCTTACCCTCCTTTGCTTCATAATCCCCAGGCCTCAGTGTGCAAAGAGGCTTACCAAAGTGAACAAAGTACAAGTTCAGAGTACAAAGCTATGATGTGCTAAAAATGACTCTGAGTTATTAAGTTGGTGCACTGAGAAGGAAATAACAAACTTAAACTACAAGCAAAACTGCCCTTGGTTCTTGCTGGTAACGATCAAGAGTTTTCTAAAGCTTCTTGGTCTCTGTGGGGCACCTGTCACACTTTCTTGCTAGTTTAGACCATTAGGAACTTCTTGATGGATGGGTTGACCATCGTGAAAATAATGACAATTTCTTAGTTCCCTCTTGCATTGTAGGTATGGTACATGTGAGTCTATTCAGAGTTAATTCAGCAAAGCCATGGTGGCTTAGGGCCCTGCTAGCTTCTCCTCTCACTGTGTTGAGCTCCTTGGTAGGCAGTTCTAACCCCAAACAGCATGTGCTCCTATCTGGAAGGATTTCTCTTCGAGAGGCGCAGAGCCAATCGCTTGAAATGTGTGCTCCAAATAATACATTTATTTTCCTGTCTGTTCAACCAAGGTTCTTTTTCGATCTTTTTCAAAACCTGGAAAAACACTGAGCCCCAAAGACAGTGAAATAGCAAGGGCAGGGCTCATAGTTCTTAAAGTAAATTCTTAACAGTTTCTCAGAAAGACAAAGGAAGAAAACTTTGGCATGTGTTACAAGTTATGCCCTGTATTCAACATATAGCCCTTCAGCATCAACTCACACAGACTGCAGAGCCAGTATTCAAAAGACAAAAACAAGCAAAAGCCCACTGCCACCAATAGATCCCAGTTCATAGGAACCCTACATAGAACAGAGTGCACTATTCCTTAGGGTTTCTGAGACTCTGTCTGTACGACAGTAGACAATCTCTTTCTCCCAAGGAGCAGCCGGTGGGTTTGAACCACTAACCTTGAGGTTAGTAGTCAAATGCCTAACCTATAGTGGCTTTCAGGGCTTCACTATAAAGAAAAAGCAAACCTACAACCCTAAATTAAAAGGACTGAACATTTTTGTTTTATTTTTATTTTCTTTGATGGATTATTTATGAGGCATTACTGTACCAAAATTATATGTAATTTTGTCTGTATTTATCTTCATATTTTCACCCACGACATTGATATCAGAATGAAGATCTTTTTGAAGTGACTAAGATATTATTTTTCCCTTCAATCTAAAGGCACTAGTCAAATGAAAGGGAGCCTGGGTGGCATGGAGGTTATGCCTTCGGCTGCCAATGGCAAGGTCAGCAGATGAGAGAAAGATGAGGCTGTCTGCTCCCATGAAGACTTACAGCCTCGGAAACCCACAGGAGCAGGCCTACTCTATCCTATGGGGTTCATGATGAGTGTTTTTGTTTTATTTTAAAATCAAATAAGTAGCACACATGAGAGCTTTGCCATCTCCACGGCGCTATTCAGAGAGCATGCACTAGCTGTGTTATTTAAGGTCATTAAATATCAGACTCCTGTAGTTATTGTAGCTTAAACTTTCATTTTCTCCACTCCCTCCCTCCCTCCTTTAATAGCTGCCAAAATGCATTTATGAACTCTTTCCATACCATCTCTCTTTTATTCATAATATCAGAATTGAATATTAGTGATCTAGTCATTAGAATAAGACACACCCCCAAAGAGATGGATTGGCATGACAGCCACAACAGGGGATTCGAACACACCAATGATCACGAAGATGGTACCGGACCAGGCCAGATTCTTTCTTTTATACATACGATTGTCAGAAGCAGAAGCCCACTCAATGGCAGCAGTAACAGCAAACATATTAATGGGGACAACAGAAGATAGCGCCTGACTGGTGTCCTCTTCAATGTTTGTGAAGCTTCAGATGTTCAAATGCATAGCCTTCACCATCAGAAAACTATCCATTTGAGAAATTGAGTAACGTGTTAATTCAATCTCTTTTTCAAATAGACCCGACAGTGGTTTGCTATATTTTAAATCCTGTAGCAATTTTCTGTTGTTGCTAATTGTGTTTCTTCATTTTCAAAGAGTTTAATCTGCTTCGACTTTTGTAGAAGACTGCTGGACACCGAGGATGAGCTCTGTGACATCGAGGCCGATGCCGTCCCGCTGGAGGTCCGCGACTGGCTGGCTTCTACCTTTACTCGGAAAATGGGGATGGCCAAAAGGAAACCAGAGGAGAAGCCGAGGTTCCGGAGCATCGTGCACGCTGTCCAGGCAGGGATTTTTGTGGAAAGGTAAGTGACATTGCTGATGCCATAGGCCACTGGACTTTGAAAAGCAGCAAATCAATTTGCGATATTAATGTATGGAGAGACCTATATTTTACTTCCTTATGGAAACTCCAAACATAGATATATGTAGAGTGCAATGGTTTTTGATAAATTCACCTGCAACGAAAATCCATGATTGTGATGGACAACAGAAAAGTGGGTGAAGGGAGACAGTGGTCAGTGTAAGAAAGACATGGGGAAAAGACATTTTATAAATTATCCAGGGTTCATGGGGGAGTGGGGGAGGGGGAAAATGAGGAGCTGATGTCAAGGGCTCAAGTAGAAAGAAAATGTTCTGAAAATGATGATGGCAACATATGTACAAATGTGCTTGGCACAATGGATGTCTATATGAATTGTGATAAGAGCTGTAAGAGCCCCCAATAAAACGATTTTAAAAAAAAACAACTTCTTCTGACTTACCATTTTTTTAATCAACATAACAACTGATAGCAAAAGGCTTTTGAATGAGCATTCTTCTCCAATGAACTTTTCAAGAGTAAATAACTGTTTAAAAATCATTCAAATAAATTCAAATGACATCTAATTATTTTCATCCGAATAGAAGGCATTACCTCATAAAATACTAGGAAGTCTACACTGGATTGCTGATTACATTTGTGTAGAAATGAGAAGATCTTTTTCTTAGCTGACAATAATACCCTTTTGTGATTCTTCTACTCTGCTTTCTTCCTGTCCACCTTCCAAGGAGCGTCTTAGAATTTCCTGTCATTGGAGCAAGTACTGAGTCAAACATCAGTTTCTGTGGCGGAAGCCCATATTAAGATGACCCAATCTTGTATTTTTTTAAAATTCTTAAGAACAGGGGATATCATTAGGTTTTGTAAATAAGATGTTTCAAAGCAAAGTACCAAAAACCAGTAAGACCTGATATGACCATGTTATGTCTGTCCATGGTGACACAGAGATATTAAAATCATTTGCATTAAAACATGACATTAAGTTAAATGCAAAAAGATCGTTTCAATATTTTGAAACTAATGAAGTTGAGAAACAAATCATTTTAATGTTCTTAATAGCCACCACATATGTTGTTCATACTCTGACATCTCAAATCATTATCTTTAATAAATAGTATGAACTTTAATTTCCCTCTGCTAAACAGATAATGGAAAGCACACGTGGGTTTCTAAGAGATATACACAAGAATGCATTGCAAGAAGTAATTCATGTAAATGTAAAGATGTGTCAAAATCACAGCACACGATCTTCAGTTTGTTTTTGTGTATCACTCCAAATTGCATCCACTGAGTTATTATGAAAATGACTTAAAATATTATCCTCATATTAAATACTCTCATCATTTTGTGATAGGACTTCACCCCATTCGTACATTAACCATAACTCAAATCTGTTAAGTGGGGTCGAGGTCTAAGATGAGCAGGAAAGACAAGGTAGAACAGGGAAGAAATAATTGCTATAGCAATTTTTTTGAAGGAGATTTAGGTAAGAGTGTGACCACCCCCAAACCCAGTGCTATTGGGATGAAGATCCCAGTTCATCTTGATCCATTTCTGAGGCTATAAATCTTCATAGGAGCAGATAGCCTCTTTCTCCCATAGAGTGCCATACTCTGCCATCAGAAATATTAAATCTATAGAAGTAGACTTCTAGCAAGGTTTCCCCTCCTTCATTTGCCCTCGCCAAACAAATCATTCTACAGTGATGCTTTAAAATGTAAGGTAGTTTCATCATTCCTAAGCTAAAACCATGTGATAGTTTCCCAGTTCTTTTCACATGAAAGTCAACTTGGTATTGTGAACTTGTCTGATTCGGTCCCTTTGTATCTGCCAGCCTCAACCAAGGTGACCGGCATACTTGACTGACCTCCACTTACACTAACCTGATGCAAAACACGATTTGTTTTGCTACATCACACTGCCTTCTGTGCCTAGCAGACAGCTAAATGAATGCTTCTTAATAAAAAAAAAAAAAGTTATTCGATGAATAGCACCAAAATCGTCCCGCTTTGGGGCCAATACTTCTGCTTTTTCCTTTTTCAAGAATAACTGTCCCTACCCTTCAACCTGCATTGCCCCTTTTTAATCCTTCCAAGACATTCCCTGATCAGCTTATAGACCAGAAGTTTTCAAACTTCCTCATGCCACGAGCCTTTCATACAGTTCTTCATGTGGTGGTGACCCCCCAACCATAAACTTATTTTATTTGCTACTTCATAACTGTAATTTTGCTACTGTTATGAATCGGGTGACCCCTGTGAAAGGGTCTTTCAACCCCCAAAAGAGTCGCGACCCACAGGTTGAGAACTGCTGTATGTATACTGTTAACCCAGTATGTGTAGTGTTAACCTAGTAGTCGGTTAATCTCATATCCCTCATCCTTGATTGCAATCATATATTGTTTCTTATTTGTTATCTTTCTTCACCAAGGAGAGAAACCTAAAGACAGAAGAAACTATATTTTCCATTTTCCCCACTGAATAGTTTGATGCCCAGCATAGTGGCTAGGCATCAGAAGAGTGTTTTGTCAATGTTTTAATTTATATTTTATTATTATAATAAACATTAGAAAAAATAACCCATGAAAGTCCCAGTTATACTTTAATCATCCACAAGAATTCTGGAAATTCATTATTCTTTTTCAAACGCATGCAGTATATCCGCTATTCCCTGTGTGTGGTTGTTGTCTTCCATCGCACTTGTCCTGATGCCTAGCGACCCCATGTGACAGAACAGACTGTCCCCTGGGGTTTTCTTGGCTGTCATCTTTATGCACGCAAATTGCCAGGTCTTTCCCCTTGCAACCAGTGGGACCAAAGAGCTTTTTCCTTTCTTCCCTAGAGTGAGCTTTAAGTTAAGGTTTCTCTCAGGATCATCCGGACTCCATGATGAGTCATCCTAAGTTCCCATCCTAATATTCTATTTCTGGTGAGAGCAGTCGAAAGTTCTGAACTGACTCCAATTCTAAGAAACTCAGGAGCACTGGAAGTCTAAGTGAGCCTGGGAATCCCTAAAGAATGAAGGAATCGGTGCCAATGGTGTGATGGGAATAGTAACAAAAACAATAATAACGAATTTCATTAGCCAAGGGCTTGTTGTGTGCTAAGAATTTGTATCATTTGCTCTTCACACAAAAATTACAGATATATCTATCCCCATGTTACAGATTAGTGATATTCAATAGCTTTAAAAAGGGCACACAGCCCATGAGTAACTAACCTGTAATTCAAATCACAAATTCCCTTTATGGTGTATTGGCGTATGCATTCGGCCGCTAACCACAAGGCCCGCAGTTCAAAGCCACATGTTGTCCCTCTGGAAAAGGATGAGGGTTTCTACTCCTGTAAAGACTTACAGTCTCCGAACCCACAGGGACAGTTCTACCTTGTCCTACAGGGTCACGACGAGGCAGAATTGACTCTGTGGCAGCAAGGGCTGTAATATATGGATATAGATGATATAGATATAGATTAGATAGATGATATAGATATAGATATACTATGATACTGCAAAAGCACCCCAGGGGCACAGTGGTTGAGCACTCAACTGCAAACGAAAGCATGAAAGGTTCGAATTCACCGGCTGCTCCACAGGAGGGAGAGATGGCAGTCTGCTTCCATAATGATTCCACCTGTGGAAACTCGAAGCGGCAGCTCTGCTCTGTCCCGAAGGGTCACTACGAGTGGTAATCAACTGAACAATGAACATAAAGACGACCACGGTGCCTTTCTGTACCATAGAACCAAGCTGCTTTTATTTAATTTTTTAAAATCACATTTCTGGTTAATTAATATATACACATATGTCATTCTTTTCTTTTTCCTCTAAATTCATTTTCAGTAATGATGATTAGGGAGGTAGATTTAAAAGATATATTTGTTCCCTAAAAACCATTGCTAACAGTAATTAATTTTCAGATGTTTTGTGCTGTGATTAGGAGTTTTCTTGACCCCAACAAATTAGAAAAATCACTTTAATAATAATTTTTTATTTATAAATGCCTCTGGAATTATCTAATGTAGGTAGAGATCTAATACTTTTAATATACTTGATCACTAACTTCTAGGTCATTTAAAGTAAACATAAAATGGGAGGCACTTTAATAGAAAGTATAGAATGCAGATTTAATTAAGCACGAAGTTTCAATTATTAGCTTCTAATGTGATTTACTTGGTTTTCATTATCTTAAAAAAATAGCTTTCACTAAGAAAGTGAGAAATGTGTGTCATTATTTTTAATATGAGGATTAATAAATAAAAAGACCTGTATTTCTCATATTTTGAGTAAAAATACAGAATAGTTTCCATATTAAAGAATTTTAATATGATCCCCCAATATAAATTAATGACACAATAATTAAATCATGGTTAAGTCCACGAATTTGGGGGAGAGAAGTTAATAGCAATATGTTTAAGATTGCAGCTTTCTTGGGAGTAATTTATTATAACAATTCAGTGAATTCCTTCTTTCTAGAACTTAGTGGAAGAACCATGAATCCTTCCGACTCCTAAGTAGAAATGTTTTTCTCTTTCAACCACCAGGGGCTCACCTTGATTCTCTTCCCTCAGAAAGCCAGGGAGGGAGCTCTTACATGTGGCTTACGTCATCGGGGCTGCCCACATGAAGATGGGAAATTTAGATTAATTATTATTTTGGTTATTGATGCTATTACAGAAAACTTTGTTTTTTCTATATAACTTTATAAAATCTGAATAAGTTTGAACATATTTTATTATATAGCCTCAAAACTTAAAAAATAAACAACATTTGTCATCTAGAGGCAAAGAAGGATCAGAAAGCATTATCTTGGTGATAGAATCAACACCAGAGATCACATACTAGAAATTTGGAAGACCAATATCTTATTCTTCACAAAAGATTTTTGTAAACAACATGCATAGGGACTATACTTGTGGACCTTACCGAATGGAATATATAGGAATTAGATAGATCATATTTGTTTAAAGAGACAATAGACAAGCTCAATATCCTCAAGCAGAAGAAGGTCAGAAACTAGGTACAAAACAGACCAACAACTGCTCATGTGCACGTTTCAGTTGAAGCAGAAGAAAATGAAACTGAGCAGAGGAGAACGAAAGAAACTTGACTACATGCCGCTTGAATGGAGAGACGAGCTCAAGAATTGATCTGATGCATCAAACACTGACAATCAAAGACCAGCAAAGTTGGGAGATGATGATAAGGACATCATAAATGATGACAGCAAGAGGTCATTTTAAAAGGTAGGAACAAACGGAAAGGCCAAAATGGAGCAAGAGGAGACTCAGAAACGTGCTCTTCAATATGGAGTAGGTCAAATGAATGCAAGGAAGGACAACATTAAGGAGTCGGGGAGATTTCAGAGCTGGCTCACGGAGACAGAGGACTGTAATGAAATGTGCAAAGACCTGAAAACCAAAAAGATACATGTTGGTATCTTTTTCAAGGTGACGGAACTGAAGAAACAGTCAACAGTCAAGTTTCAATAGTGAAGGGTTCGGTGAGAAAATGATTAAAGACATAGAAAAATAAAGTCAAGATAGAATGCATACAAAGAGTCACTTTACCAAAAAGAAACTGGGCATTCGAAAATTTCAGGAGGCAGCATATGATCAACAATTGATGGTATTCAAGGAAGATGTCTAAGCCACACTAAAGGAACCGGGCGAATAAAAGGGCCCAAGATTCATGGGATACCAATTGAAATGTTGGAATGCGTGGAGGCAATGCTGGAAACAGTCACATGTCCACACTAAGAAATTTGGAAGACCGTTACCTGGCTAATCAACTGAAAGAGATTCGTATTAATGACCATTCCAAAGAAAGGTGATCCAGCAGAATGTGAAAGTGATTGAACACTGTCGTTAATATCTTAATAAGTAAAATTTTGTGGAAGATAATTGAAAACAATTGTAGCACCACAACAATCAGGAACGGCCAGAAATCCAAGCCACATTCAGAGGAAGATTTGGTATGACGGATATTATTGCTGATGTCAAAGAAGATCTGAACAGTGTTTACTTGGGCTTGCTTGACTATGCAAAGGCATTCCACAGTGTACATTATAACACATTATGTTAACTTTGCTAAGAATAAGAAATCCAGAACATAATTATACAGATGTGAAACCTGCACAGAGACCAAGAGCAAGGAGAGGCTATGTGGTTCAAAATGAGGACAGATGGGAGTCAGGTGTGTATCCTTCCACCACACGATTCACTCTGTAAACTGAGCAAATAATCTGCGAAGTTGGGATATATCAGGAAGAATAGTGCCATCAGGACTGGAGGAAGACACATGTATAACTGAAATACACAGGTTACATTATTGAACAGGAAGAGGACTTGAAGGACTTACCAAAGATGATCAAAGCCTTGTTCCTTTTCTGTGTAAATTCCACCCCGACACCATACTAAACAGAACAAATTTTCTTTTTGTCAAAGATTTCAATTTACATGAATCCATAACCAATGTCCATGGAGACAATAGTTAAGAAGGGAAATGATGAGGCATGTCTGTTGGAAAAGACCTTCTTAAATGGTTCCAAAGCAACACGCCACTCTGAGGAGTCAAGTTCGTCTCCACCAGGCAACACCAACCTGACGCACAGCCACCATGGGCACGCGGTGCAGGACCAGGCAGGGCTTCGTTCTGCTGTAGGTGGGGTCACTGTGCATTGGAATTGACACCACAAATCAACAACGGAACAAGTGATTTTTATTAATATTGTCTCAATTTTTTAAAAATCCGTAGCAGATTATGGCCTTCATCTTCCAGAATGTCACAATGTTTGGGCACATAAATGAACATAAAGAAGGCCGTGCTGCACTGGACAGTATGCATGTTAGAACGTGCTGTCACTATGCAGACTGTAATCCATCTTTTTAGAAAGTGAAGTTAAGAGAAAGATAGCTTTATCTAGAAATTACAATCACAGTGACTTTGTCTGTGAAGAGACAAAATCCTATTAATATTATTCACATGAGTTGTCACCGTGCTCCTCATTGTTGGTATAAAAGGAGTTTAAAACTGCATAAAAATACAAATGAGCCAGAAGTGATTTTTTTCCTGATATTTAAGACATTGCTGGAAACTTTGGGTGAATGATTTTTATATATACATTTCTTTTTTTCTCTTTTAGGATGTACAGAAAGACCTCCTCCATGATTGATTTGTCATATCCGGCAGCTGTTATAGTAACATTAAAGGTGAAGTAGCTTCGCTTATTTGATCTTCTTAAATAGACATCATCATCATTTTAAAAATTCTTCTTAACTTGGCTGGGAGAAAAAGAGCATCGTTCTTTACTGTAGACTATAGATTTAAATACTAAAATATATGCAACATGTAATATGCTTGAAATCATTACTCATCGGACATGTAAATGAGGATTTATTTACACTAACAAATAATTATCAATGTCTATGGGTGTGCTTGTCTGTGTATCATGTTTACTTTCTTCCTGTTTATTGCTCACACTTTATTTAGATTGACCTTGAATTCAACTCTGAGATGGCATTTGTACATATTAGAATCTATGTACTAAGATTAACAAAATATGTCTTACTCTGTGTTATGTTTCACAAATAAAAGGGAAATATAAAAATCAATAAAATTAAAGTGAAAAATAATGTACTTTTTCTTTAATGATATAAATATATGAACATTACATAAATACATATGATATATGTATATTTATGGAAATATAAATAATTATAAACATTAAAGTCTATATATTCACCATTAGTGAAATTCCAAACAGTGAAAAACGACTCACAGCAGCCCTCGGGGAACAGGGTCGCCCTGCCCTGTTAGCGTCCAAGACTGTTATCTTGACAGGAGTAGAAAGTCCCATCTTTCTACCGTGAGTGTTCGGTGGTTTCAAACCACTGGTGTTGTGGATCACAGTCAAATGGGTAACCACTACGCTATCAGAGCTCCTTAATGAACACATATTTATGTATTTATAAATGCAAAATTATATTTTATAATATAAAACATGTCATTTAATGCTATAGTTAAATGTTTTAGTCAAATATTATTAAACTACAAAACTAATCAGGAATACTTCTGTTTAGAATTTTAGACCTGAGAAAATATTAAAATAAGCTACAATTAAGAAAGGAAACAAAGGAACATGCGTGTCTTTGGCCCCTGGCTTCTCCTGTGCCTTTCCTGTTTTAAGAGACCCAGTAAACCAAAGTCAAACTCACACCCATCGAATGAATCAATGCCTACTCATAGCGCCCCTCTATAGGACAGCAGAACTTCCCTGCGAGTTTCTCAAACGGCAACTAATTCCAGGAGTAGGAAGCTTTGTCTGTCTCCCAATAGCCTCGTTCTATGTGCTAGAAGTACCTGGAGTGCACACTCTGAACAGGTTAAAGTTGTCTGCTCCCTTTTAAATCTTTCCTTGGTGTGTCAGTGTGTGCATTGTTACTCGATATTATTTCTACAGGCATTTTTTTAGGCTCATTATTCTAAATTCTTTATTTCTTTCTAGCACTTGATTTGGATGAAGGAATAGTACTTTATCTCCTATAGTAACTTCATAATGATTTTTCTGTATTAACTAAGAAGTTAAAGGATACTAGGAAAAAGAGACCTATGGGTGGTTTATTTCTGATTTACTGTATGTTGCTGTTTTAAATTTGTATTCATTTCTTCTTTTATTTATAGTTACTTGTCATTTTGAACACCCTCTTTGCATATTTATCGTCTGTTGCATATTAGCTTTTATCACTATTAATTTTAAAGCATAATTCACTTTTGCTTGGGTGCTTTTTATGTTTATGCTCCTAAAGTAACAATAGATACAAGTACATAACTGAAATGTGATGTTGTAGGTTACTTATTACTTATTGGTTCTTGAGACATTTCACTTTCCCTATATATTTCTCAATTATGAACTTTTTTTAATGCTTGCGTTAAGATCAACTATCATAATGCTTCAGAATGAGAAAGTGCATTCTTTTTCCAAAAATGTGTTATAGTAACAACACACGAACCAAAAAGGTTAAGGGAGAAAATGCCACTAAGAAAACAATCTTTTGGTTAAATAATAATTCTCATTTCTTGGACTACCTCCTCATCTTCTGTGTGTTTTCAGTCTGACAAGGGATAAGCCAAGAATCTGCACTCATTTTCAAATGTAAATCATCATTTTTTAATAAGAATTCCCAAGAAATAGAGAATAACCTTTTACCCAGTGAGAAAACCCTAGGTGGAACCGTAAATAGCATCGTGTACTTACTCTTCTGGGTTAGTTTTGGAATCTGATAAAAGATCTATTGGCCTCCTTTTAGCTTTGAGAGTAATAAGCGGCCTAATGGAACTTTTATCGATTTTTCATTCCCAAACAGAGAAAACAAGTGTTTAGAGTTCAAGTGAGGATTAAATGACAGGAATATGCCAAAGCCACGCAAGCAAAGCAAAGCAAAACAAAATTTCACTTGGTATTTCCAAATAATTAAAATGAGAGTTGACATTATTATTTTCAAGAAATAACTTTGAAAAGGGCCTGAGTATGGCTTATCAGATGTTTGATTTTGTTTCAGCAGGTTACAGCACAGCCTCTATGGCGGTGGTTCCCAACCCTCCTAATGCCACGACCCTTTAGTCCAGTTCCTCATGTTGTGATGACCCCCCAAGCATCAAATTATTTTCGTTGTTACTTCATCACTATAATTTTGCTACTGTTATGAATTGGGCGACCTCTGTGAAAGGGTTGTTAGACTCCCAAGGGGGTCGCGACCCACAGGTTGAGAACCGCTGCTCTATAACAATGTGCTAAATGGATCAAATTCTAAGCAATGCCCATTCAAATATCATTAAAGCATAACTTTAAAGATGTCTATCTATTGCTCAAATCTAAACCTACTGTGTTTGTAAACAGTAGGCCTTCTTTGCTAACATGTTCTGATAATTGTTAGACATGCCTCCTTGAATTCAGATGTTTAAGTTTTCACTGATTTATTTAGCATTGGGACTTGAACTTCACATTAAGGCCTGCTTTAAAATATATAGGACTATTATTACTTGCTGCAGTCAAATTTGTAGATTCTGCTGCAAGTTTACCCTCTGAAATTAAAGTGCAGAAAAAAATCACAATGTAGCTACAGTGTCTAAATAGCTCTGCCCTTTGACCTGTACTTCACCTGTCAGGGATCATTGTCTAGGATACTTGGAAAGGTTCCAGCTGTCTTGCCTGCGTCCCTTGGGAAATTCCTGAAGCATCAAACTTCATATCCTCCTCTTCCATCAAAACACCCACTTCCTCTTTCTCACCAGCTGTCCCCAGAGGGAAGTGCACTAGAGTGAGCCAAGGTTGGAGGGAATAGTAATGTCATGTATACTCTACCTTGCATCTTAAAAGAGAACTATGACATTAAAGGTTTAAATCAATGGCTGACTTTTAAGGTGGACCTTCAAGGAATGTAGCAGATGGATAGGTGGACAAAAGATATGAAAGCCATTGTCCCTCTATCACTCAATGTACATCACCTGTGGGACTTCAAATGAAGCCGACTCTGGTAAATTACTGATGACACACATCTAGAGAGAAGTTAAGGATGAAAGCAGTATTATATTGTCAGGTTTGTTACACAGGTTTCATAACCTTGGGAGTGAGATGAACATCTTGCTGCTATAGTCTAGCGCAGAGCAAATGACCTCGCGTTGTGGAACCACAGGGAAAAAGAAAAAAACAAAAAGACCACTTCACACCAGACTCCAGTGAAATGTAGTTAGACTTGCTGAGTTGAAGTCTGATGTTCTGTGTGTACAATGATCTTCCCAATAATTTTTTTATAGAGAGAAACAGAAATAAATGATATCATCGCCTAAAACATTTACTTGTTTTATTTTACAGGATGTTGATAAATGGTCTTTTGATGTATTTGCCTTAAATGACGCAAGTGGAGAACACAGTTTGAAATTTATGATGTATGAACTGTTTACCAGATACGATCTTATCAACCGTTTCAAGGTCAGAAACATGGGACAAAAGTGGAGTGCTCTTAACATTGGTTATCTGAATAAGAATGAAAATGCACAGTTTAGAATGTTGTAGTTGGCTGACCACAAATCCAAGGGATATAATTTAGCCTGTGGTCTAGCCATTCTCCACAACTCCGTGATATATAAATATATCCACTTAGTTGCCATGAGACCATTACAACCTCATCCCAGCAAAATGCCAACTTCCCCCTCAGTCTTCCATAGAACCCTCATGTAGAGATAGAAAAGTATTTCAAAGAAATCTGACCCTTGGCTTTCCTAAAACAGAGAATGAGCTTTTATTGGCAGCTTTGCTGAAACTAAAATGGAAGTCTTTGTAATTAGCTTTTTCTAGAGCCACTTAATCCACAGATTTCTGAGCAGCCTGCAACTTGTGGCTTTCATCATGATTTAGGAGATGATGGCATATTGTGACACTCGAAGGTGTCATCTATTTTTAACCTCCTTGTATTACAGATAAAATAAACTAGGTTTCTGTCAATTATAATTAGAAATTTATACTACCGTTCTTACCAAATTGTGAAAGATGTAAAATTTTAAAGACTGTAGTATGAGTTAGACCGCTGTTTCATGTATCTTAATTAAACACTTGGGGTTACAATCCTTCTCAGGCGACCAACGAGGCTGATTGAAAGATAACATGGTCATGAAGTGGGCTTCTTATTTTAGAACAATTCATATTCAACTGAAAGAAATTATTGGCTGCATCTGCATTCAATTATGTGACCCATTCTGAGCACCCTGGTGTTTATGTTAATTTCATGCCAGTCTTTTGATCAAAATCTAATCCTAATTATTCCTTTCCACAGATACCTGTTCCTAGCCTAATTTCCTATGCAGAAGCTTTAGAAGTTGGCTACAGCAAGTACAAAAATCCATATCACAATTTAATTCACGCAGCTGATGTCACCCAAACTGTGCATTACATAATGCTTCATACAGGTATAATGGTAAGAAAGTCTTTGTAAACCTTGTATTCCTTTAAATTCCCATGGTCTCTTTAATGAAAGTGTTGATAAGAATATGTTATTGAATGTTTAAGGGTTGATAAGTTATGAATAATATCTTAGAGTAAAGATATTTTTGGAGACAAATCAAAAGATATTATACATTTTCCAAAATTTAGAATCTGGGAATATTCCCACAGGAGTCAGCCACACAAAGGTCATTAAGGAAAAGTCGTCAGAATGCACATTACTCTGCTCTTACCTCCCTCAGATGTACACAAAAGCTTGCTTGGTAGCCCTTTTCCTCTTTTATTGTCTCTATGAAATCATAAGAAATTGAGAAATTATTTGTTTGATATTTCTGGATTTTTGGCCCCCATATCTGTCTCTTCTTCTTTGTGTCTGAAAGAATCAATGAATTGGTGACTAAGTGGCCCAGCAAGGTAAACCCTGGGTGCCTGGGGAGGATTTTGAGATGGTCTAGAATTTCTATCATCTCCCAGGGCTTGGCTTGTCAGGTGGGAGGTGAAAGGGAACGAGAACCTCTTCCCGCTAAGGTTTCCAGCTTCGAGGTGGGTTCAGGGGAAGGTGGAAGAAATTTCCAATCCTAGGGCCTTCGTCTGTGCCAACCTAGACTGAGGCAATGCCATAAAATAAGCTTAATGGAATGTTCCACCAAATTCCCAAACCCACATTTTCTACCTCTTTAGATTTCAAGTCCTACCTTTTCTATGGGGCAGGGCCACTGGCACGCAGAGGTAGGTAACTAGCCCTGTGTTGGGGACTGTTCTGTACCACACATTCTGGATTCCTATTTAAGCAAGGTATCCTCCAGAGCATGGAACTTTGAAGATTCTAAAAGCAAGTATATCATTTTTCAATGTATTACATACAAGACTTTCTCATCCTGATTTACTTTGTCCTGTGTGTGCTCTACGATGTACAATATCTATTTTCTGTGAGTCCTTCAAGTAATACCCCAAGTGGTGACTGGAGAAATTGCCCATTCTTTGTCTAATTGCCAACTTGCGTTGAAGATCCCTCAATGCTTTGAACTCTCATCCAACGTAGTCCCCTTTCTAATTATCTATTGCTCCAAAACAGACCAACTCAAACCATGTTGGTTTAAAACACAGATTTGTTATCTCTCAAGGGTCTGTAGTTAGAAGACTCTCAAGCCCTTACTTGTCTCATGTGATTATCGCCAGTGAAGACGACTGCTTCAGTATTGCTTCTTTGTTCGATGGCTTCACATGGCTCTGCCTCTAGTGTCGCAGCATGAAGAAAAGTAAGAGAAGCAGGGAGGGAGCATAGTAAATAACTGAGAAGAAAATAAACTCTCTTCTCTCACTCGCCTTCAATATAATCTACCAGCTCCTTCCATCCTCTTAGCTCCAAGGTTGTACCCTTTCCTCCTCCCAGTTTCTCACCATCGAGCTCTAAACCCAACACTTCACTTTCCTGATCTTTGTGGGGTTTCTCCACTCTTTAGCCTTCATTCCACCCCATTGGAGTTGCATCTCCACAGGAACCAGCACATTTAATTGTGTTTGGATTGGCAGAGGGAGAGGAGAATTTAAATGATTCTTGTTCTACTAGAAGTTTTCCTGGCACACCAGGCTGGAAGTCTGGAATTTATTTCCCCACAGGCCAAAAATGAATTCAATAGGCATCCAGAGAATTTCTTGAATTCCCACCATCAACTCTATAGAAACATGAATTTTATGACAGGCTTACAAAATAATACAACTTGATTTAGAGTTAAGTCGTTTTGTGTTGAAGGCAAAAATCTCAAAAAAAACTTTCACAAAATGTCCCCCTTGTGAACTTCTGGAAAGCTTAACTCTCTTTCCTCTTTACCGTGTGGTTTTCCCACTTCGGAGGTCCGTGAGACTTTCACCTGCTCTTCACAGATTTGGTTGTGAATGGTCCCTGCCTCGTTGGAAGTTCCCTCACTCCCCTTTCAGGAGTCTGATTTGGCAATAGAAGGAAAGAAACACAGGAATCCAATCACAGTCGAAATGCAAACTTCCATAGATAAAAGACATCCAAAGAGCAGTCATTTTATGAAAGCAGTATAGTCCTTCCCCAGGTTATGAACAAAAACCTGTTCCTAACTATGTCTTTAAGAATTGATAGAAAAAAAAAAAAAAAGAATTGATAGGTTTCGGGAATCAGACAGGTGGTCATTCTTAGCCTTCTGCCTTGAGCAGAAGAAAGGGAGACCTGTGGCCGAGTAGTTAGGCGCTGAGCTGCCAATGCAGTGCAAAACCTCCTGGAAACACCCTTGGAAGCCACAGGGACAGCCGTGTCCTGTCCTGTAGGGTCACCGGGAGTCAGTACAGGAATAATGCTCCTGGCAGTGAGGTGTTTTGTTCAGTAGAAGAAAAGCCTGGAAACTTTTTTGTGAATGCCATAAAAACTGCACATACAGCAAGCAAAAGTGGTAAGAGAAAAATGGTTGGGACAGGGGTTGGTTCAATCCTTTCAGGATAAGGACAGCTTGACATAACATTATCAGAGTCCATAAGGGGACATTCCTAATGTCAGACTGGAGGACTTGCCCTTTTTTATACCTATTTATCGTTCATGTATGTGTGAGTGTGCATACATGCCCACAATATACACACACACACACACATACACACACACACACTTTCAAGCCGTTTGGCTTAATCAAACATCACTGTCGCAGCTGTTTCCTGGACTGTGTGCGTCCACTTGGTTTGATGTGCCTAACAGGAGGGTGAAACATGAAATGCCTCCTGACAGCTGCCAAGGCTGTCACGTTTGTTCAAGTAGCTTTAGCATCTTCCTGAGGAGAGCTGCTTGCGTTTGGTTTTCTATAGCCTCTCTCCTGAATCTGATAGCAAGGTAGCTCTCATTTCAAGTGTTTGGCATGTCCCCATTCCTACATCCAGTGACTTGAAAATGTTTAATCAAAAATGAACTATGTAAGTGTTTGTGTAACATAGGAAATGAAATGATGAAGCCTCCGCAAAACAAGATGTCCCGGAGAAGCAAGTGCCTAGTTCAGCACCGGATCTGAGAAGATGTGCTTTGGTGATGAAAGGCATTCAGAGGAGGGATGCCATCGTTGGGGGAGGCAACCAGGCTTTCATCTCTTTCAGATACCTTTCTGCTTCTGTACTTGATTTGCTCTCCTTGCCACAAGTGTAAAAGGAGCCATAAAGAAGCCACTGAAGCTGACCTCCCTTTTCAGTTTTTGTACCCTTCTCTCCTGAAGGTGACCTTGAAGGCATGAGGGTGTTTGTTATGTACATAGATGAAGAGAAGAGCAACAGAAAGGAGTATTATTCCTGTACTGAAAACCCAAGAGGAGTTTACCCTCAGCCACCACATGAAGGACTCTTACTTCAGATTGCAACCAGCCAGTCGCTGGAAGACTGGGGAAATCTGGCACAGCCTGGCTGCCGCTCAGAAAGTTGAAGTTGTTAGGAAAGATCATGGTCGCGTTCCGAGTGGGCCATAAGTTATCAAAGGTAGGCTTAGTTTGGAAGCTTCCTTCTGATTTCATTCACCCTTCAGTAACAATATTCTGTGTGCTCCCTAGACATCGGATTATTTTGGCCTTTGCAAAATCCATCTGGTGAGAAAATGTTAATATCTTGGGGGATCTGGAAAATACATTTAAATGAAAGAGAATAATGAGGAATTTCATGATGGATGATGAAAGGAAAGGCAAAATGAATTTACAACAATATCGGCTGCTTTGCCAAGACTAGGTACCATGCTAACTTGACAGCTTTTGGAAAATTATTTTAACAAACTTTTCTCTAAACGAAACAAAGCTCTGGTAGGTGAGTGTTACTGCTTGTGATGTACATGAATATAGTGAAACAGCACGAAGAAAAATATGTTGTTCCTTTTCCCCAAACTCAGGGTCTTTTCTTACCTGTCTGGTCCAATATGGAGAAGACTGGCTGAGGTTGGTGTTTGGCTGGCGGCCCTGGTGCTTCAGGATGGTCCTCGCAGTGTGACACTTATGGATGTCTCAAAGCTACTTGACACTGTCAGGGTGTCCCTGCAATCTGTCACCAGAAAGTTGTCCTGAAGACCATTGCCTGAAAGGATTGTGACGAAACCATTAGCTTTCCACGCGTTGGTGTCCTAAGTGGACTGTCAAGCCAGGACGGACGTAGGGGATGCAGAAAAGCATATTATCTCCTGCGTGTGTCTCTTTTACCATTTGATGAACTCACCATTTTTTCCCACGGCGACGGTGATGAGCACTGACTCAAACCTCTTGCGAAAGAGAAAATGCTGCATTGAGCGCTGTGGACCCATCCGAATGTCTCTTTGAACATGAAATCATCCCAGCGCCTTGGATAGAAAACCCTGGCGTCTGAGGGTGCCTGGCACTGGCTAATGCTCTCTACACTAAGAGCAGAAGATGAAGAAATGGCTTCATGCCTATTTACTTTGGGATTTGCAGCCCACTGACTAGACTCAGAAATTGTCGCCCACATTCTGGAATGACTCCATTTTTTCTCAAATCTATCTACAGAAGATTTACTACTTTGTTTCTATTCTATAAACTTTATGGACACACTGCTCTTAAAAATGTTTTCTGCTAGAAGGACATTGGGCCTCCACTCAAGTACTCCCTCAACACAAGAATACTTTCTTCTAGTAAATTGGCATTCTATGATGCTCACCTTCCCGACA